TTCCCCGAGTCAGGCAAACGTCAGGACCACCCATCACAGGAACAACGCCCTGTTCCCATCCCTCCCTGGAATCGGCAGAACTAAAGTGCTGCGGAGGGACCTCTGGCCTCCGGGGGTCTGGGACGCCAGCTGCCTGCCTCAAGGCCGCCCTGGGTGAATGCTGTTGGAATGTACCCCCCCAGTGCACACTGCCTTGCATTTAAGTCACCAGATACTTTGGCCCCACTGGTGTAGCCCAGAGGCAGATGGCACCGTGCAAATGCCTCCCTCCATCCGCTGGCCGCCACCGACCCAGACTCCCTCTGGAAAGGCACGTTGCTTCCTGTCCTTTGTGGGCATCTGTCCCTCCCAGATAAGCCCAAAGACAGCGACTGCCCCACTTGTAACAAAGTAACTGGAAGCCTCACCCCTTTGATAGTGAGAAGCCCACGTTGTCACCATCTCCCCCATCACCAGCCCCGTCGCCTCCGGGTAGGATGGCATGTCCATAAACAGAACCCACAGGGGGACCACGGGGGTGGCCGGAGACGGTTTTCTGTGTTTCATCTCGTGCTTGGTGTTTCCGGTTCCCCAGCTGAGGTGATCGGGAGCTAGGGAGCAAGAGTCCTTCCCGACCGTGGGACCTTTGCGCTCTGGGGGATGATTTGCTCATGACCTTGATTAACTAACGGTTCCTGGCTGGGATGGACGCTTGCTTGCTTGACCCAACCAAATCTATGACATTTCTGATGCAAAATCACGTACTGATGCGGCCCACGGAGACCAGGAAGCCTCTGGAAAGGCCAGAAGTGCCCTCCTGGGCCCTGCAGTGTCAATGTACAGTGTTGCCCCCCAGCTCCGTGGACCTTGGTCACCTCGACAGTAGCAGCTTCCTTTCCTCTGTTTGCACTGTTGGTTTGTATAGTAATACTAGCTAATCCTATTGTGTACATAAATTGTATTTTTTTTTTTAATTTGTAAAATTCTATTTTTGTTTGGACTTTTGGAACTTGGAAGTTCTCATTGTAACCGTAACACATCAGAATAAAATGTCTTCATCTGTCTCCTTCGAGCTTTTGTCCCCACGGTGCTCTTTCTTTGGAGTTGCACTTGGCTTTTACTTTACTCTCTCTAATATGGAAAAATCACAGAGTAGATGTAGCGTCTCAGCTGTCTCCTGCTAGAGCTCTGCCAGCAAGAAGGCTTCGTCCCCAGGGGTCCATCTACTCCCACCTTAGTCCTGTGGATCTTAGCAAAAATCAACCCAGTTCCCAGTCTTCCGTTTCTCCCCTCCAATGAACACTGTGCGATCTCGTTTGCTGATGCTTTGCACCCGCTCCCTCAGCTACCGCTGTCCCCTGTCCGCTGTCGCTGTTGCTGTCCGTAGCAGGAGGCAGAGGATCCATTTGTATGCCTGAAGGGCTGTGTTTAGGACTTCGCCCCACCGACAGGTTCCCCGACACCCAGCAGAAGAAGTGAAATCCATACTGAGTCTGTAGATGTTTAGACCTTGGGGCTGGCTTCCCTGGTGCCATCTGTCATTCCCTTTGCTCTGCCAGAAACAGGATTCTCTTTGTCTCTGGTTGATCTGCTCTAAGTTAGCCTTCGAGCAGCAGTAGAAATGGTCTCCGTTCAACCCTGTCCCCTGGTTTCCTGAGTGCCAGGGGCACTTTCTGTGTATCCGGCACTGTCTGTCAGTTCCGTTCCGCGAGAGCCCGCCGTGTCCCAGTGACCCCTCAGGAGCGTGTGCGCGGTTCACCACGCTCCCCTCCTAGCAGCCCCTCCTCCCCGGACCTCAGCAGCCACGTTTGGACAGACACTTCTCCCTGTCGCTGCTCTTGTCCTTGCTAGGCCTTCCCTGCTTCTTGGTTTTCCATCCTGTGCTCAAAGTCCACGTGAAGAATATTTTTATCAGAAGTGGGTAGATTAAAGGTCTTTCCCCACCTCTACTCCCGAACTGTCAATTCTCTTCTGGCCTCCCTCTTCTCTACGAAGAGCGAATTACTACTTTATTTCCCTCCTTCCCTAATTTCTGTACACGACCAAGACAATTTGACTTTTTTTTTTTTAAGTTTATATATTTTGGGAGAGAGAGGGCATGGGCAGAGACAGAAGGAGAGAAAATGAATCCCAAGCAGGCTCCACACCATCCGTGCAGAGCCCAACATGGGGCTCCAGCTCAAGAACTACAAGATCATGACCTGAGCTGAAACCAAGAGTCTGGCGCTTAAGCGACTGAGCCACCCAGGCGCCCCGAAAATGTGACGTTTATAGGGCACCAAGAATGTCATGTGCTGCAGCGGTGCTGACCAGGCCTTCACCTTCAAGGAGCTTCCAGTCCGGGGACACAGACACAATCGCATACCAAGGCAAATTGTCTTGTGTTGTAATAGTCCTATACAAAATGCTGCTGGTGCAGAGCTTAATTAGTACCGGGCATGTGATCTCAGGGTTGAAGTGGCATTTTCGATGAGCCTTGAATGTGTAGAATGTTCCCAGGAGCACTGGCTAAATCGCATTACAGGAGGGCATGAAGTGAACATTTTGGCGGGGGAGGGGGGGGCGCTGGTCGGAGGAATGTCGTAGAATCTGACATGGAGAATGAGGCCTGTAGGGCGGGAAAACAGGTTCGAGCACAGTTCCCTGTTGTGGGTGAACCTAGTGCCTGGGACTCTCTGCTTTTCAGAAACGGACACAAGGAAACGGCATCCTCTCCAGTGCAGCCCTGCTCCGTCACCTTGGGCCTGAATTAGAGAAAGCTGGCGGCTACTTTTTAATTATGTGTTAGTACCCAAAAGGCACATAAATGTGCGGTTCATCAGCAAATGTTTTTTCTTCACTTTGCTC